GCTTTTTCAGGTCTTCTCTCCTGTAATCACTTATACCTAAATGGTGAGAATCTCTTTTCTGGTTCCAATGAGTTTTTGAGAAGATTCATAAAGACAAGTCAAAAACTGTTCTCAAAGATTTGCCATGCATCTCCTGCTGACTACAGCAAGATCTGCAGCCATGTCTTCAGGGGAAGATTTGAGACAGGAATTCTTTGCTGTTCCTCTGTACCATATATGCATCCAAGATTCAGGTTGAATTTGGAGAACAAAAGCAAGGTATGATTAACCTAAAGGTTGAAAAGTATAGCTCTGCATGAATTCCTGTGCAGGGCCTTGAAGAGGGTTTCAAAGATGAGATTTCCTGATGCCTGTATGTGATAGGTACTCCTCTGCAGGAAGCAGTATAGAGATGAATTATAGAGGGACAATCTGCACCAGGGTCCAGTTTTCATGAGAACCCAGTGAAGAACTGCTTTTGCTCTGCTGCTTCTCCCTTTACACACAGTGAGAGAACTGTCCATTGTCTCCATGTGAATGTAACCTCTCTTCAAGAATGTAGCCTGCCAGAGCATGCAGCTGGAGGTAACATCACAGTGGAGGAAGCTTCTGTATTATGTCTTGGGCTCATCTACGGAGGAGTCTCCTGATACACATGTGACCACTGCATTATAAAACACCGCAGAGTATTTACTGGCCAAATTGTAGTTGCAAAAGCTTTTATAAAGTTGTCACTAATTACCAGCTGTGTTGTGGCAAGGCAGCAGGACCCCAGGCATTCATGTTCTCAAAACTCATTCTTGTCTTGTCTTCACTGTCAGAAGCACCTTTTGAGGACTTTGAACATTTCCTACCCTGTTAAATGTTTGCCTCTAATTATAAATTAGTTCTGACTGTACACAGACATTACTAGAAAGCACAATATCAGAACTAAGAAATGTGCTATGTGTCTCTTCAAAATCTTGAATGAAGAAAGCGAAAGAATGCAAAAAGCTTAAACGGAATAGATGAGTGGCCAGGTACAACCAAAGCTACACCCTATTCTAATATAGGCTAAATTTTGGCTCCAACAGACTCAGGTGCTCCTGAGATCCCATCATAGTGGCACATATTTTGTTCTCTGGTGTTTTAGGAGCTTTATGGTGATTCTGTTGGAAAATATCTAATTAATTTCAGAAAACATTATCTATGTGGTGAAAATTAACAGCTTAATGAATCAAGATCAAAGGGAACTTTACAACACTGGGGTCTATCAAATCAGACATGCCTAGTCATCCTGTCAATTGGCTATTACAGATTTTATGATAAGCTGAGGACTTGAACACCAGCACCCCAATTAAATTTGGTCCCAGGTGATTATTTAAATTCTTCCAAAATTTTCAGTGAAGGAAGCTAGAAGTGCCCTAAATGCTTGGGATCTGCACGTGAATATCAGAGAAATGAAACAATGAGAGAAATTCTATCTTGTGGACACTGTCTAATACTAATCACTAACTACTAATACTAATTAGTCTAATGCTAATCATGCTTGAAAACGAGTAGAAGGCTTACCAGGAGGTGACTGGCCAACGGGACACGCAGAGCAGTGAAACAACGGTATCAAAACAGTTAAGGCTCACGTTTTTCTCCTAGAATTGCCTGTCTTCTAGGGTTATACGGGCCCTTCCACACCCAGTGCTGTGACAGGGATGTTCCCTGTGGAAGCAGCACCATCAAGACCACAGGACATGGCATGAGGAAAAGCATGGAGCATCTTCTGCAGTGGTGTTGGCAGCAGTCCCAGTGGCTGCCCTGCAGTCTGCTCTTGGCTCTGGCCCTGTTTCTATACTGTCCCACACCTACAGAGCCTCAGCCTTGAGAAGAAGGATGCCAAGGCTGTGTGATTTATATTTGCTAGAGGCAATTCTCTCTTCCTTCCACCTTTAAAATGGAATTTTTTTCCTTTTCATTCCCCACAAAATTAAATGTGCTTTTATGTGTTTATTTAGGCCTGCTCCTTTATGTGCATTTCTTATCAATTGAAAGGCCAATCTTTGTCTTGGCACAGGCGGATAGATATTTGAGATGGTTCAAACTGCTTTCAGAGGAAAGGAATGTTTCTTTTCATTTCTAGAACCTGTAATAAGTTCTTTGTCAAGCCCTGCAAGTCAGTTTTTTTAAAAAAACTTTGGAATATTTTCACAGCAAGGGGTGGACTGACTTTTTCCCTCAAAGTTTGTATTTAAAATATTTTTCCTTTTTTTTTTTTCCCTGCTTCTGACCATGTCTGTAGAGATTTTTAATATATGCTTTTATAAAACATGTTTCTATTAAATAGATACACTTATGTACACATACACAAAAATGTAGACAGAAGTTGAGTTGTTTCTGCATTTTCACATGTGTACCTGAGCCCTTCACAGGATCACATTTCCTCTCACAGTCTCTTGAACAGAGCTACCAGACCATTAAACCTCTGTCACTCTCCACTAGCCATGCCTGGTATGTCTTAATTTGTCCTTCAACCTTTAAAAAAATTCTTCAGTAGAAAAATGTGTATGCAGCAAGAACTGAAAAGTTTTTGTTTTGAATACTAGAATTCAGATTTTGCTTGTTTTCTTACAAGCTGAGGATGTCTCTGGAGTAATTAGAAAAAGAATAGCATTAATTCTGCTTCTCACTGAGGAGGATGCTTCATTAGGCTTGATTGCTCATTTCCAAAGATTGTACATGGCTAATATAATTACCACTGGAGAACACAAGGCATTGAGCAACACGTATATCCTTTGGACCACCAAAGTAAATGGACCCTTAAGAACAAGCTGAATACTTTTATTTATAAGGAACGTATAAACGAGGGTTTCAGTTCCAGCGGGAATAACTGTCAATTGAATTATGGCTCTATGACTAAATTTGAATCTCTGTTCCTTTACCCTGAAGGTTCTGTATATGCATGTACAAGAGCCTATCTATACACACATACAAGACTTTATATAGTGCTAGGTGAGACACCACTGAAGGCCACCACAAAGTAAGAGAAGTCATAGTTCTGTTTTGCTTTCATTGGAAAGTCATCACCATCAAGCAACTCACTTATGCTGATAACTTGAGCCTGATTTTACTTCACACAAAATTTGCAGCTGCAGAAAAAACAAAACTACTCGAGAAGCCCTCATCCTTTGATTCTTCTGTTATCTCTTGCAAAAGAATGGCTTATGAATTGAGGACATTTAGTAGCTGAGTTTTTTTCCTATGCTATTCCTAAATTTTTATTTCTTCCATGTTGGCCTCATTTCTGAGCAACTTCCTATAACTGGGACAGAGTTTTATGGGAGATCATAGGGAGCTGGTTTTGTCCTTAGGTGAAGCCATGAATACTGGCTACTTGGCCTTGCATGCTGCAGGATTGCCCACTCAGTTTGTAGCAAAAGGCAAAATACTAACCATTATGTGCAGATTTTGGCAGGTAAGAAAGTAAAGAGGTTTCACATAAAATGTACAAAACCATACAGGACAAAAAAGTGTGGTCATCCAAACAGAAACATGAAGAGACTATGTAGAGATGAGAGAAAACCAGAACATATTCTTTCCTAATGAGCTCTTTCCTGATTTAGATCTTAAACCTGAATAAAATGGGTATTAACTGTCTGGAAAAAAACCTACAATATATAAATGTAGGCAGACCATTTCTCACATCAGTTCTGAAAATATCAGGGCAGGATTAACACAAGATCAACCCGGGGAACGACTGGTAGCTGTCCCACTACAAAGATGAACCACACCTCGTATTCAACTCAGGATTTTGAGGTGCTGCCTCCTGCGCAGCAGCTGCAGTTATGAGCAGACTGTTCAAAAGGTTCAGGAAAGCATTTAGGGAGTCTATTTTGGTCTGCATAAATATAGCCATCCTTTGCTTCAGCAGTCCAAATGAGAGACTGGGAGGAGGAGGAGACACATTCACATCCACCTAGAACTTTGATTCCCAAAGAGCTTGGACACTTGTGAAAACATGTGGAACACAAAACAGAGCCTTGTGTTGTTTACTGTTTCTGCCTTCCATGCAGTGAGAGCTAAACTGCAGCGTAAAGTGGAGGGCATCAGTATCGTGGTCATTGGGAACTGGAGCTGGAATCATCAGCGGGAGGGGAGTAGTCAGAGCAGAGGTGGAAAGGGAGAACACTTTGTCAGACAATGTAAGCACTGAGGCAAAATGGCAAGAAGTCATAGGACAGAATTACCCGTGTAAGGATTGGGGGGCAAGTAAAAGACAAACATGTGGAAAGATATGGAGTGTGTGGAGGAGGACTGTTGCTGCTGAAGATGAATAGATCACACGGACACAGCTCGAGGTGTGGTGAAAGGAAGAGAGAGTTTATTTTTCCTCCCAGGATTTATAGGTTTCTGACCACGGCCAGGGATTGGATGGTCAGGATAACACTTTCCCACTGCACTGGCCATGAGAGATGTCCATCACAAGACATGTAACAGAAAGAATGTACCCATATCTATGTTTACAGTTACTGTCCTGGGAAAGTCTTTAGAAAACTATGTTAGCAAGCTCAGAAGCTGAGTTTTCAGGGCGACAGAGGACCTCCCTTATCTGGCAGTTGAGGGGACAAGCAACAATCAGCAAAAGGAGAAATCAAAACTCTCCCTTTCCCCTCAACTCATGCCTTTCCTCATTAAGGGCATTTAAAGATATCCTAGTATTTTTCTGGTACTTCCTTTCCCATCAAAGCACATCCTGCAATTTCAGTGGTGATGGTAAGTCTTGATGAATCAGAGTGAGGAAGGTTAGGAAATGCCACAGCGGTCTTAGGTAATTACAGCTGAGAGGGGAAGTGCCCCTGGAGCAACCTTGATGAAGGTGCAGTCTGAAGATTTCGCGATCCCTGCCCTAGGTACAGCACGTACATCACCAGAACACACAACAAGTGCAAACAGCATTACAGAAAGAGGAAGAACACTGAGAACCTTGTTACAAAGGCAGGTTTTCCTATAAGGGAAACGGTGGGGCTGAGGGTCCAGGAATACCTACTTACCAGTTAAGTGGCTGGCAATCCTGGCAATAGGTTTAGGAGGCAGGGCAGGGGGCTGTTTGAGGAGGGACAACTGTTTCACTGGGGTGTCCTCATGGTCTCCAGGGAAAGCAGCAGATTTTTTGGGGGGAAGTAGCAGGACTGGCTTAGCTGTAGGATCTTGGGACAGGAGGACGCCGGATTCATTGGATGTGGGGCTCTCTTCAGACACTGGAGGACACAACCACATCATAGACGCAACAACGTTACGAGCAAAGCAGCAGCAGATACAGCCGAAGTCAGACGAGAAAAGCAGCACAGCAATGCAGATTAGGAATGACTCATAGATTTCACCCAAACATCATATAACGTAGAAAGGAGGAAAGAAGGAAGGAAAGAAAGTAAAAGAGTAACACACATCTACACAACAGCCAAATTTCCCATTACTTCCGACAGAAGCCAGCTCCTCCATGTCAGGCTGGGATGTACTCCCACATCTGGAACACAAATCAGGTTTTATAATGTCACCTCTCTGATGGTCTGTCACCACAGCTTGCCTAGGACCAGGTATGTTAGCAGGTGGCTTGTAAACTTATCCTGTTAAAAGTAAAAAGCACCTCACGGGGCCTAATCTCTTTTGAAAAGGCTGCATAGCAGTGCAAGATCATGGATGACAACTTCTACTGCTCACTTTTCCTCACTTGACCTTTGTCCACAACCCTCAGCAGCACAACATGAAGCAGAAAGAGGAGCTAAGCTAGATGTAGAGCACTGCTGTCTCTCTGCACAGGCTGGGGAAGAAGAGCAGCCAGCCTCACCCAGGGTAGGGCAGCTGACTGTGTTAGTTACTGACAGATGTGTCGTGGGAACATCACACAGTACCACGTGGCAGGCCGAGGGCATGATGTTGTACCCCAGGGTTCAAATGTGTTGTAAGGTCTCTGCTCTAAAGCTCATTGGCACATCTGAGATGCAGACAGAGAGCTGGAAACCTACTTTTATATGTTCACAAAGTGAAGGGGTTTTGCCTTACTCCAAGAAAAGTTACTTGCTTAGAAGTAGAGATTACTTATGTCAGTCAAAATTTCTCGTGGAACATTCAATCTCTATGCTGTCAACTCCTTCTACACCAGAAGACCTTCATTTTGACCAGAATTTCTCAGGGCTAAACAAAAAATGTTAGAAGTCAAAAACTTTTTTCAAACAGCTTAGAGTATATACACTGTAACATAAACAAGATGTTACCTGTCCCATCCATGATCTCTGTGGTTGGGAGCACCTCATATGAGCAGGGTTCCACAGATGCTGGGACTGACTCCAGTTCTGCTAGAGCTGGCAGGGACACCTGGCTAGAGCTCAGTCCGGAGCCCAGAGGCTGCCCATTCTCCAAAGCTGCATCTTCATTTGGTATGGAAAGTTCCCCATCTGTTCATAGTTGAAGGAAAGAAGAACAACAAAGAAAGAAACATAAATAAGATGCAGACAGAATTTTAAATGAAATCTACCTCCATTAGATTGTTTTCAAGTGAGGAACCTGGACTGAGATCTTCTACATACACATGCACTGGGTTTACATGGAAAGGTTTTGATGGCGGGGGGGCTACACAGGTGACTTTTGTGAGAAGCTGCCACAAGTGTTTGCTCATGGAACCAGTTCCAAGCTGGACCCACTGCTGGCCAATGCTGATAAGTGATGGTGCTAGCACCTCTGGAGTAACATATAGTTTATGTCAAATATATGTATTGATCTTTTGCTCTACCCTGGAATGGTCATTATGAACCGTGGTCTAAGTTGGTTGAGTCCTGACCATCCTTGATCCATGTGGACATACAGTCCCATCCAATGCAAAACAAAAAATCTGTTTTCCCTCTCTCAGTTGAATCTGGCAAGTCAGGGACGATAGCAGGCTGAAACTAAGGAATGTTAATACATACTTTATATAATATTTTAATATTAATAACAACAATTATTATTTTTCCCTACACCAACTTTTATGCTATAAGGGACACGAGCAAAATCACAGGGGTATGTCCCTATTTTACATACAAATAACTGCATTTTAGGTAAGGAAGAGAATAATTTTTATAGTTGCCTGATGTAAGGTCTTGATACTGGGATATATCAGATTCCATTTAGAAAGCCTGTTTTTATAGTTACTAATAATATCTCCTCTATCTGAGCAAAATTTCTGTGACAGCAGCTGGCATTTTCCTTCCTATCAAACACCCCTTCACATTAGAAATAATAAAGAGCAGAAGAAAGGATTCAGACTATTCTCTATGGTGTCAACCTGCATGATTTTTATCTCTGAACTTGTTAAGCACAGCACCCTGGTACCTGGAGGCAATGACTACATGGACATCACAATTAGAGTTTTATAAAGCAAAGTGTTCAGCCCCTATGGTTACAAATGGAAGCCTGAAAATATAACTGAAATGTGACCTGTAAAACTAAAAACCAGCAGGCAAATATGCGGATTCTGCTTTTACTAAGTATTTAAATTACTTTTAAAAATGAAACTCAGGATTTCAGAATATGGTTTTAGATTTTTGAGCACCACTGATAAGCCATATTACTGCTCAATGTACTGAGTGGAGATGTATATCAGCCAAATGAGTGCACATTTTTCCCTCATAGGGCTAAGATGTACAAACCACTTTGGAAACAATACTGAAAAGAGAAAAAAGTCTAATTTTGGTGCTAGTATACAGCAATTAACAAGCCTGAAAATACATTAGCTGATAACTATTCAGAATTATGTTTCTGCCATTTAAAGCTTCTCTACAGCAAGTGAAGATGGTCTTCTGTTTATTTTGGAATTATTAGAAATACCAAGGTCTTGACTTTCTTGGTTTTGCTGGAGGCTTTTTGGAGACCCAGAGAGCTATTATGGTAATGCAGTCACATCATACTAGACTGAAACCTGACCCGTGGCTTTGAGAGATCAACTGTGCTGGCTAAAAGGTGGCAACATGAATTAAAGCTAATGGCTTTGGTGTTTGCAGCACAGCCTCCTTTCTAACTGCTGTGGCTGTTCTATACAAAGCTGTTTACTTCCCTAGGTAGCAAAAATCAAAAATCAATTCAGCCAGTATTTAAGCTGATCATTTTTGGACTTAGCTGTTTGGGTAGAAATGCTGTGGGTTCTGTGCTGGCTCTTTCTCCCTTTTATAAAGACACACACGTTTATATGTGTTTGGGATAAGGACTGATGTTCTCTCAGTTACCTGGTTTCATGAAAGAGCCTAACTGTCTCTTATGTAGAGCATCTGCTTCTTGAATGAAAGGCAGTGACTATGCCCAGCAATGTATTCATTAATTTAGACTAAATTTGACTGTAACTATGAGAAAACTATGCATGACAAACCCAGTAATGTTTGCTTTTTGAAGGGATGACTGCACATACTTCATGAAGTGAGATGCCTACTGTAACATGCTGAGCATCTTGAAATCCTACTGTCTTAAGTGTGTTATGTGCTTCTCAAGGTATATTAGCATGATTTAGAAAAACAGCATTTGAATGACTCACGAAGACTTACGAGTGCAAAAAAAGTAAAATGTAAGATAAAATTCTGGCTTTTATCTTTTGTCATAATACTAAAGCATGGCAGCTTTCTTGTACTGACAGTATAACCTTTTTAAATCTTACATCTGATATCTTTAATCTTGATTTAAAGTCTAAAGCTTGTCCTTGGATTTGAATGAAATCATCAGACATAGCACAGAATCATGACTGAAATATACATTCTAAATCAGGTATTGCTTAAAGAAGAGCTACACAGGGAGTTGCTTAAGTACAGCAAACAGATCAAAGATGGGAAAAAATAATTTGTGGAGGAAAGAGTATCTTAATGTGAATTAATCCTGCATCAGAGATATGCTTGACAACCAGATATAAAAGGCAAATTACTGATTATTTTCAAAATATTAAAGCTATTCTAGTTGGCTGACATACAAATGAAAAGAATCCTGGTAATGCAATTATTACATACACAAGGATATTTTCAGGAACTGGCTATGAATTTAAAGTAAATTTTGCACAGTGATAACACATGTAATCTTTTGTTCTCAGACTTGCTAAATCCTTTGCTATTTTCACAGAGTCTGGTGCTACTTAGTGGAGAATGACTTCCCCTAAGTCCATGAGCTTTAGTAACATCAGCTGAGCGTGAAGCTGGACGGGTCCATGAGGGAACAGCTTGACCTCTGCAACAAGAGAGCACATGAAGGCTGCTCTTCTCTTACTCAGGAGACTCTGCACCCCTGAAGTCACTGAAGAAATGGGACCTAAGAGGAAACTCTCTGATGCAGAGGACTCTACCCAGACACTTTGATTAACCTCAGCATGTAAAAACAGCAGCATGGGATGAAGGCCTAGAGATACATAAATGATGTGTTCAAAACCTGTGGCTCCTGAGCATGGTCTGTACTCCTGAACACACCTGCAATTTCCGCACTCAGGCACTTCTAAAACATTGCCTGGTGTGTAGCAGCTCATTGTGCATCGCACTGACTGACACAAACCAGTCCTGTTGTGTTTCAAGTGTTGTAGCTCTGCCTACCCTCTCGCTGTGTCTTTTAACTCTGAATACCTTGGACTTTATGCATATCTGAAAACTGCCATGCTCATGCATTCCCTCTACAGAAGAATGGCTATGGAAGTCAAAATGGACAATTTGAAATCCTGGGTTAATTTTGGAATTGGGTTGTCTCCTTCAGTACTTGTCTGCTCTCAAGTAGACTGTTCAAGCAAGGAATTCTTAATGGCAAAGACCAGACCAGGAAGGACAGAGTAAAATTCATTGTCATTCTCTGCCATGACTCCAAGGGTGGGGAATGGAAAATTGAGTGTTCTTGCATATGGTCAAGACCTGCCCCTGGAACTATTTCCTAGCCTTGGTGGCTACCTTAGCACAGTAGCTGGGATCCTCCACAACCTCAGTCCCTAGGCAGACCCTGATTTTGTGGGATCCCATGGAGTTTGAGACAGGCTGCTTCTGGAGGAGTTAAAAATTTTTCAATTTCACTGCAGCACAACTGGCTCTCCAGTGGCTGCCATGCCTTCCTCCTTGATGCATTACCAAAGCCACTTCTTCAAGTTTGTCCTCATATACTGTCACAAAATCTGCTTTGGTGCATAAATGCAACATGTTCAAATCCTGTCAGGACCTAGGTTACCTGAAATTTAAGTCTAAATCCATCATTTTAATTAGATAGAGAATATTAAAATACAAGAATAGAAAAGATGAAGACTGCCCACGTTTCCTTGAAAAACCATTGCACCATTGCCTTTAGAGTAAGGAATTGGTACACACATTCAGGAATTTCTCACTACAGGCAATCTTATCTACATTCAGAAAGATGAAGAGGTATCAAAATACTACAAGTAGATTTAGTTCTTTGACCAGCAGCATGAAACAGTGGGAAATTCTAACGACAGACATTTCTGGGACAGTTACACCTTCATGTGAAAATCAAGGTCTGTACCCATGTGCAGGAGCAATGACATAGCAAAAAATAAGAGTTCTTCTAAATATTGAGGTATGTTCTGTGATGCAGGTGGAAGAGGTATTTTTAACCTCTCAGCACTATCTGTCCACAAACTATTAGAACAGCAGGAGCTTCATCAGATAATTCTTCAACTTACTATTTTCTAAAAGTACAGAGTATTTGAAAAAATTATAACCTTTGCCTACATTTTCAGAATACTCAAGTCACAGAGCCCTGGAAATGGAAGATAACAGAAACGGATTCTGTCATGAGTTTGGTCCTTAGCAAGGAAAGAGCTCTCTGCAGTTCAGTCAGGAGCAGCTTCATGTGACTAATTTAAGTGTGGGGGTCAATGAAATGCGAACAGCAATTCTTGCTTTCCAAATTCAGCAGCTGGACTGCAGCAACTCTCCTATGTGTGACTACTGTGACTTACTGCACTCTAATAATTTTCACCTGCTGGGTGACACCAAGTCCTCTGAAAAGCCAGAAAATTCTGAAGCAACAGGTCAGAGCACCATTTTTAACAGCAGGCAAACAAACAAGCTAATTATGCTTTTCTTCAACATAGAAGATATGACAAAACCAACACTAAGCACAAGGCAAAAATTCTTGTTCTTGGGTCAGTCTGTTTGCACTGTTTCCTTTGATTAGTATAGGTTTTTAAAGAAAGCAAAAACCAAAATTACTCACAGGCCTGCTTTGCCCACGTCTTTGGAAAGGGAGACAAAGAGAATTACACCTACTGTCTGTGCAAGATGCCTCTTGGCATGGAAGGTGCTATCACAATCAAATAAAGTGTTCTTCCAGGAAATGCTAAAGGTCTGTTGCTTTCTTGAAGGCTTAGAGGTTATGTAACAGGTATTACAGAGGAAATGTTATTTCCACTTAAGGTTATCAATGAAATATATCCTTTATAAGTATTAGTCTCAGA